ACCACGGCACATGCCACAGCACCCACCACAGCACACGCCACAGCACACGCCACAGAACACGCCACAGCACCCACCACAGCACCCACCACAGCACACGCCACACGCCATAGCACCCACCACAGAACACGCCACGGCACCCACCACGGCACCCACCACAGCACACGCCACACGCCATAGCACCCACCACAGAACACGCCACGGCACCCACCACGGCACCCACCACAGCACACGCCACACGCCACAGCACCCACCACAGAACACGCCACGGCACCCACCACGGCACCCACCACAGCACACGCCACACGCCATAGCACCCACCACAGAACACGCCACGGCACCCACCACGGCACCCACCACAGCACACGCCACACGCCATAGCACCCACCACAGAACACGCCACGGCACCCACCACGGCACCCACCACAGCACACGCCACACGCCATAGCACCCACCACAGAACACGCCACGGCACCCACCACGGCACCCACCACAGCACACGCCACACGCCATAGCACCCACCACAGAACACGCCACGGCACCCACCACGGCACCCACCACAGCACACGCCACACGCCATAGCACCCACCACAGAACACGCCACGGCACCCACCACGGCACCCACCACAGCACACGCCACACGCCATAGCACCCACCACAGAACACGCCACGGCACCCACCACGGCACCCACCACAGCACACGCCACACGCCATAGCACCCACCACAGAACACGCCACGGCACCCACCACGGCACCCACCACAGCACACGCCACACGCCATAGCACCCACCACAGAACACGCCACGGCACCCACCACGGCACCCACCACAGCACACGCCACACGCCATAGCACCCACCACAGAACACGCCACGGCACCCACCACGGCACCCACCACAGCACACGCCACACGCCATAGCACCCACCACAGAACACGCCACGGCACCCACCACGGCACCCACCACAGCACACGCCACACGCCATAGCACCCACCACAGAACACGCCACGGCACCCACCACGGCACCCACCACAGCACACGCCACACGCCATAGCACCCACCACAGAACACGCCACGGCACCCACCACGGCACCCACCACAGCACACGCCACACGCCATAGCACCCACCACAGAACACGCCACGGCACCCACCACGGCACCCACCACAGCACACGCCACACGCCATAGCACCCACCACAGAACACGCCACGGCACCCACCACGGCACCCACCACAGCACACGCCACACGCCATAGCACCCACCACAGAACACGCCACGGCACCCACCACGGCACCCACCACAGCACACGCCACACGCCATAGCACCCACCACAGAACACGCCACGGCACCCACCACGGCACCCACCACAGCACACGCCACACGCCATAGCACCCACCACAGAACACGCCACGGCACCCACCACGGCACCCACCACAGCACACGCCACACGCCATAGCACCCACCACAGAACACGCCACGGCACCCACCACGGCACCCACCACAGCACACGCCACACGCCATAGCACCCACCACAGAACACGCCACGGCACCCACCACGGCACCCACCACAGCACACGCCACACGCCATAGCACCCACCACAGAACACGCCACGGCACCCACCACGGCACCCACCACAGCACACGCCACACGCCATAGCACCCACCACAGAACACGCCACGGCACCCACCACGGCACCCACCACAGCACACGCCACACGCCATAGCACCCACCACAGAACACGCCACGGCACCCACCACGGCACCCACCACAGCACACGCCACACGCCATAGCACCCACCACAGAACACGCCACGGCACCCACCACGGCACCCACCACAGCACACGCCACACGCCATAGCACCCACCACAGAACACGCCACGGCACCCACCACGGCACCCACCACAGCACACGCCACACGCCATAGCACCCACCACAGAACACGCCACGGCACCCACCACGGCACCCACCACAGCACACGCCACACGCCATAGCACCCACCACAGAACACGCCACGGCACCCACCACGGCACCCACCACAGCACACGCCACACGCCATAGCACCCACCACAGAACACGCCACGGCACCCACCACGGCACCCACCACAGCACACGCCACACGCCATAGCACCCACCACAGAACACGCCACGGCACCCACCACGGCACCCACCACAGCACACGCCACACGCCATAGCACCCACCACAGAACACGCCACGGCACCCACCACGGCACCCACCACAGCACACGCCACACGCCATAGCACCCACCACAGAACACGCCACGGCACCCACCACGGCACCCACCACAGCACACGCCACACGCCATAGCACCCACCACAGAACACGCCACGGCACCCACCACGGCACCCACCACAGCACACGCCACACGCCATAGCACCCACCACAGAACACGCCACGGCACCCACCACGGCACCCACCACAGCACACGCCACACGCCATAGCACCCACCACAGAACACGCCACGGCACCCACCACGGCACCCACCACAGCACACGCCACACGCCATAGCACCCACCACAGAACACGCCACGGCACCCACCACGGCACCCACCACAGCACACGCCACACGCCATAGCACCCACCACAGAACACGCCACGGCACCCACCACGGCACCCACCACAGCACACGCCACACGCCATAGCACCCACCACAGAACACGCCACGGCACCCACCACGGCACCCACCACAGCACACGCCACACGCCATAGCACCCACCACAGAACACGCCACGGCACCCACCACGGCACCCACCACAGCACACGCCACACGCCATAGCACCCACCACAGAACACGCCACGGCACCCACCACGGCACCCACCACAGCACACGCCACACGCCATAGCACCCACCACAGAACACGCCACGGCACCCACCACGGCACCCACCACAGCACACGCCACACGCCATAGCACCCACCACAGAACACGCCACGGCACCCACCACGGCACCCACCACAGCACACGCCACACGCCATAGCACCCACCACAGAACACGCCACGGCACCCACCACGGCACCCACCACAGCACACGCCACACGCCATAGCACCCACCACAGAACACGCCACGGCACCCACCACGGCACCCACCACAGCACACGCCACACGCCATAGCACCCACCACAGAACACGCCACGGCACCCACCACGGCACCCACCACAGCACACGCCACACGCCATAGCACCCACCACAGAACACGCCACGGCACCCACCACGGCACCCACCACAGCACACGCCACACGCCATAGCACCCACCACAGAACACGCCACGGCACCCACCACGGCACCCACCACAGCACACGCCACACGCCATAGCACCCACCACAGAACACGCCACGGCACCCACCACGGCACCCACCACAGCACACGCCACACGCCATAGCACCCACCACAGAACACGCCACGGCACCCACCACGGCACCCACCACAGCACACGCCACACGCCATAGCACCCACCACAGAACACGCCACGGCACCCACCACGGCACCCACCACAGCACACGCCACACGCCATAGCACCCACCACAGAACACGCCACGGCACCCACCACGGCACCCACCACAGCACACGCCACACGCCATAGCACCCACCACAGAACACGCCACGGCACCCACCACGGCACCCACCACAGCACACGCCACACGCCATAGCACCCACCACAGAACACGCCACGGCACCCACCACGGCACCCACCACAGCACACGCCACACGCCATAGCACCCACCACAGAACACGCCACGGCACCCACCACGGCACCCACCACAGCACACGCCACACGCCATAGCACCCACCACAGAACACGCCACGGCACCCACCACGGCACCCACCACAGCACACGCCACACGCCATAGCACCCACCACAGAACACGCCACGGCACCCACCACGGCACCCACCACAGCACACGCCACACGCCATAGCACCCACCACAGAACACGCCACGGCACCCACCACGGCACCCACCACAGCACACGCCACACGCCATAGCACCCACCACAGAACACGCCACGGCACCCACCACGGCACCCACCACAGCACACGCCACACGCCATAGCACCCACCACAGAACACGCCACGGCACCCACCACGGCACCCACCACAGCACACGCCACATGCCATAGCACCCACCACAGAACACGCCACAGCACCCACCACAGCACACGCCACACGCCATAGCACCCACCACAGAACATGCACGGCACCCACCACAGCACACGCCACACGCCATAGCACCCGCCACAGAACACGCCACGGCACCCACCACAGCACCCACCACAGCACACGCCACACGCCACAGCACCCGCCACAGAACACGCCACAGAACACGCCACGGCACCCATCATGGCACACGCCACAGCACTGACACCCATGAGCAGTCTACAATGTCCACTGTCTAGACACACACTGTGTGTACCAGCTAAGAAAACATCCATTTCTTCTTATTTAACCAGGAGGAGAATAAAAGCTGCTGCTACCATTTAAGTGAAATACCTGATGCGTAACTGCCATCACTTCAGGTGAAACCAAGCTGAGCTTCATGAGGGACCCACTGACCAACACTCACACCTAAGCTCTGGACAGTCTTACTCAACTCGCAGAGGTTAGATGTCTGAAATTTTAATGAGTCATTCCATGTGCCAAACTTATTTTCTATGGGCCATATACTGGTGTAGGATGACATGTGTCACCTCAACCCTTTAATAAAATTCACTGTACTCCATTCCATAAAATAGAAAGTTTCCCAAAAAAACACAGAAAAAAAACACTGCAGGCAGACAGTTACCATGAATGAAGAGTGTCGATGGCTGCACTCTAATCCCCCCTGAAAATTACATAAAAAATGGATGTTTAATGACAAAAATCACTCATTTATCTCTACCCCGGAACAAACAGAAAACACCATTAGGGAACGAGGTACTTTTCCGACCACCACCACAGCGACATGGACACTCGGCAGACGGCACACGCGCGAGCGAGGAAACATTAACACGTCAGCTCAGCACAACTTTAATAACTGCACTGAAAGTGGTCTCTTAATTAAACCAAAGTGTTTCTTCCTCAGGGCAACCATTAGCTACAAAGGAAAGATGATTTCATATCCTTGGTCCATAAAGAAGACACATTTATTTACATTCTCAATGGACTAGAAGAGGTTTGAAACTGTCACAATTAAAATTGTATGCTTCCAAAAATATCATATGAGCAACGCACCTAACTTCAAGCTTCAGTTATTAATAACTTCATTTAGACTTCTTAAAAAACCAACACAAACATACTTTCTAGAGTGCAAAATGCTTCTTATTAAATACTCCGGTAACACAAAAGCAATTTGTTTTAAACACAGGAATTCTTTTCTGAAAGGTCATCCCCACGAGGACAGCACTGCCGGCAGTGGGCGCTGAGCGATGCGCCGGCAGGGGGGAGCGACACGCCCACCGCAGCCTCGCACCTGCCTGGCACCCCTACTTGTACAGGCTCATCGTGGGGCTCTGGTACATGCACATGTACGCATCGCACAGCAGCCTGCGTGCACAGCCCTGGATCCGCCGGGAGTCCAAGGAGTGCAGGTCCTCTGGGGACATCTTCAGGTACTCCCGGACTTCTGGGCACGGGGTCACCTGGGGGATGTTGAAGCCGTTCTGACCGCCTGTGGACACAGGAAGAGCACGGTTCAGGGTCATGTTCTCCACACGCAGCTCCCCGCCCGCCCACACACCCTCAAAGCCCCCGCTCAGGTAAGAACTGCCAGGATCGGGAAGACTGACTTTCCTACTGATTTCTAGGGGTTAAAGCCTCCTTTTGCTCTCAACAGTGTTCCCACTTCTTGGTTTCTGAGAGGATGCTGAGGCCAAGAGTGAAGAAAAGGGACACACAGCCTGAGCAAAGTCCAAACCCAACGTCCCAGGCTCCTCTCTGCTCAGTAAGTGTCACAGTCGGACGCCCACACCCCTTCCCGGGCCCCTGCCTGCACCCGCCCCCTCACCCCGAGACCCACTGCCGGGGGGGCAGAGCTAGTGAGCTGACCTGTTTAGCCCCTTATTTTACATGTGCCTGTGCAGCTCCCACAGGTTTTATCTCACAGGTCATCAGACTGAATGAAGCTGATGGGTGTGGTTTCGGGGATTCCAGGAGCGATGCTGGGTCAGCCTCCCAGTGGCTTTACCGGATGTTTAAACCCCGTGCTTCTGAGTCTCATGTTAAATGAACACTGAGCTGGGGCAGGGACACGTGTACAAATGGGGCTGTGCCATCCCCTCAGGTGTCTGAGGCCAAGGAAATGTCAACCAGTCTCATTTACAGCTCGGGCTTCTGGTCAAGAGGCTTCCACAGGGGTGTCCCAGGCTGTCACAGGGCCACCCGGGACAAGGGGACTGGAGCTGTGCACAGTGTGGCGGGGGGAAGAGTGGAGGCGCAGGAGAGTCACAGCCTTGCCAAGGGTGGGGTCCCTCACATGCCCTGGCTTGGTGGCTGTTCAACACCAGGCGCCTGAGAAACAGCCAAGGAGGGGTAATGGTCCCCGTGTCAGGAGGAAACAAATCATGCAGAGCAGGTGGCTTTTTAGAGGGCACATTACTCCTGTCTCAGCTCTGTCACGGAGAAGACAGCATGGTGGGTTAGCATCCAGCACTGAGCACTGAGGTTGCAAAGACTGAGTCGAATACAAGCTGTGTGGCCACAGGCACCTAGGCCTCAGCTGTGGCAGCACAGAACGGGAGTGATTCCCATCCTGCACGGATTTACTGAGTAACGTGCTTCCCAGAGAGCCTGGCCCCTGGGCCCTCAACACACAGCAACTGGGCTTGTGCAGAGGAGAGGAGCCTGGAGGTTCGAGGCGATGAAGCCGAGAAGAAAGCCCCTCGGCCTGAAACGAGAACCTCAGGTTCCTCCTTCAAGGAAGACCCTCTGCACGTCGCAACAGCACAGCGTAACGACCGCTACCGTAGTAGCAGGCTGTGAATGCATGTCAAGATTTCAGACCAACCCCGCTAATCCTGAACAGCCTTCCCCACACACCACTGTCCTCCTTGGACACCATCCCACCAGGCGCTGCCCACGGCAGGCGACACCGTGGCCTGAGGGGAGGCCGTGTGAATTACCGTCCCGGTCGGCCATGCTGTCGAAGAACAGCCAGGCGGAGTCGTCCTTGCCGTACTTCACGAAGGCCACGTAGTGGCTGGTCTCTATGCAGAGGACGGCGAACAGCTCCATCTTCTGGCAGGGGATGCAGCCGTGCCTCCAGTCCCAGTCGGGCAGGTCTTTGGGCAGGGATACCGGGTTATACTTATGGTTCAGTCTCTTGGGATGAAGGTGGACCTACAGCGGAATGTGAACGAGCCAAGCTCAGTGTTTCTCATGAGCGGACTCTGCTTCCTCGACCTGAGCCTCCCTGTTCCCAGCAACCTGTCCTTCACGGGAGCCTCATCAGATGCACAGAAGAGGCACAAACAATACCACATAATTCTGAATTTTTAGACATTAACTGTGAGTTTGAAATATTCAAAGCCTGCAGTCTGTTTCGACCACATTCACTTCCTGTTTAAGAAGTGAGCACTGCTCTGCGGAGGGACTTCAGACTCACCTGAGTGTTGCAGGTCTTGCAGAACTGCTTGATGCTCCCGGCCGAGATGTCGGGGTCCTCGTAGCACTCTCTGCACTCATACATGGCCAGCCCTCCACAGATGCGGCACTGCCGGGGGGCTGAGGTGGCGACAGGGGAGGGGGAGAGGGGCCTTTAAAAAACGCATTCTTTCATTTAAAAGATTAAAAGTTAAGCTTTAAAAAGAAAATGCTCAGGGACTCAAAAAACTCCCTCCTTCACCATGCCCGTCAGCTTTCAATTGGACTTCCTTGGATTCAGGATAACTTTAAAGACAGTGTCTAACCAATGACAATTTTTTAAATTAATATATTCTAGGGTGCTTTCCCCGATTATAAAATGTCTATTAATGAATATTCAAAGATACAGATGGTATAAAGAAGAAAACTGAAAGCATCCACAGTTTCAGTTAGCAAGAGATAACCACTGTCAATAGCCCTGTGAACTTTCTCCAATCATTTCACACCTGCCCATCTACAAAGCTCAGG